GAGGCCTCGCACGAGCCGTAAAGCACGCGCTCACCTCGCAGCCCTTGCTCAGAACCCTGCTAACGGCGGCCGTGCTTCCCTCTCCCCAAGGCTGTGCCTCGAAGCAGTCATTTGCTTCAAGGAGATGCTGGCCAGTTCCTGGAATTGCCTCCCCAAGCACTTGCTGCACAGCGTCAATCAGCGGTTTGGAAGCAACAACACCTCGGGCTCCTGAGCCCTCTGCGGGCATCGCTGAACGAGCTGTGCCGTTCTGAGATGTAATAATAATTTTACCGAGTGTGCAAACATTAAACTTGTATAGGTTAAATATCCGTATCGTCGTAGGTAGTTGCTTCTTGCCTTTAAGTTGCATGTGAATGGCCTAGAGAGAACCTATTTTTGTGTAAAGATGTTTGCAATAAATGTATTTAATGCAAGTGGAGATGTAGGCTGTGCTTAAGCTAAAACTAGTCCTGGCTTGGTCCACCTCCAAGTACGTGCGAGGGCCAGCCCCAGGCGAGAGGATGGGGTGTGCATGTGTGGGGATAGAATTGTTGTGGGGTCCCCGGTCAAGGACCTGAGGACTTGGGGGGTTGTGCGGGAAAACCCGAGGCACGCCCCGGCTGCTGAAGAGCGTTGCTTCGGTCTAGGCTGAAGCCTGCCGCGAGGGGTGAGCGGTCCTGGTTTAGGCTGCAGCGTTAGGAAACTGCTTAACATTTTGCCACAAATGCTTAAGGTCAGAGAAACGGGATTTGGAAATTGTACGTTGTCAGATAAACCTGTCGTCGACCTTTGGCTGTTAAAAGCACCGCTACTCTCTGCTTGGCTGTAGTTTGGTTTTTTTGGAACTCTTATGTCGTGGAACCTCAATTGTGAACCTTAGGTAGCAGATATTCTGCCCTGAGAAGCGTAACTGAAAGTGCTGGAGCCCGTTCCCAGCTGTGTCAGTGACCCGTGGCGCTCACCTCGGGCTGGCACAGCCGCAGGGAGTTCAGCTCCGTGGCGGCACACCGAAACCGGGCTGGGTCAGCGCCTGCCGGGGCTGGGTCAGTGCCTGCCGGGGCTGGCTCGGCTCCCTCAGCAGCCCCAGCGGGGCGACATCGGGACAAGGAACGGGGCTGTGCTGCTGTGGGGAAGGGGTGAAATCATGTCTGAGCTGTCCTCAAAAAAAAACCAGTATTAAAAACCTTGACTTCTAGAACAAAAGAATTCCTGTCTTGTCATTCCTGAGCCCGTTTCTTTTGTAAGCTTTAGCTTAGGGCTTGAGCAGGCGCCCCGGGCGGTGCGGGGGGCCAGAGCGGAGCTGGGGTTCCCCAGCTCTGGGGTTCACCTGTGCCCCGGGCGGCGCGGGGGGCCAGAGCGGAGCTGGGGTTCCCCAGCTCCGGGGTGCACGCGGGGCGTATCCTGACTCTCAAGCTCCAGCTCCTCCTCCCTGCGCGCTCCTCCCCTCATCGGGAGATCGCCCCACAGCACAGTCAGGCCACGCTCGGGGGGGAAGGGGTGCCCAGGAGGGGCTGGGGCTGCGCCTTCCACCTGGCGGCCGGTGGTGTATTTTGGGAAACCCAAAATCCGGCCTTTTCTCACAGGAAGCGTTTTGCACCGCAACTCTCCTACCAGGAAGCCCCGGTCCCCTTCCGAGGGCCGGGGTGGGTGCTGGGCAGCGATGCCACCGCAGGGCTCTGCCGCAGGAAGGGGCGCACGCCTCTGCCCGTGGGGAGGGAGCGCTGGGCTCCAGCGCGCGGAGCGCCGGGGA